GAATTAAAAACAGGATGCAGAGATGAAGAGAATGTCACAAGATTTTCAAAAAAAAAAATTCTTTGCTTGAACGAGAAACTGAATTCCCACTTTTATCAACCAAAAAAGAATGACAAAACTCAGCAAATGTCACCGATTTCAATACGAGACCTTCGCAAAAAAAACTGTTCAAAATTTCAAAGCTCCAGACTGCACCAATGAATTGTTAGCGATTCCTTTCTTAAGCGAATAATCCAAACAAATCTTTTGCAAAATTCAACCCAGATATTGTAAGCAAGAAACCCAAAGCNAACAACAAAAGTTTGCTGGTGGAAAACCAAAAATGAATTAGTTATTGGAGGACAAAAACAAACACTTATTCATTAGAGTGCACCGTGTCGAGTTTATGTTAAATGTATCTGGAACAACTTTGATTCATTCGGCAAAAATGTTTTCATTCTCTGTTATCAATAAAACATAAATTCTCATGATAAATCATTTCATCTTCTCAATTTCAAAAGGCAATCGCACTGTTGTGATGATAGCACAAAAATGAAACGTCAAAAAACGATGCACTGTGACATTTCTGTTATGTTACAAAGGGCATGCAGCAGCAGCAGTTGAATGCAACTTCAAGGAAGCTGAATGTTCACAAATGAAAATATTATCGATTGAGAATGTAAAATTTCGTAAATGTTAGTAGTGAGCAAAGCGCATCACAACGAATAAAGTTTAGTTTGATCGCAGTAGCAATCAGCATTAATGCAACGGCGGTGATTGATTAATGAAGCCAAAGTCAAAACAAACCTAAAACATCATTCGCATCTAATGTACTGATCGATCCACGGTTCAGCACATCTATTATACGTTTGTTGAAATCTGACGGCAATTTGCTCGCATAAGGCAGCACCTAAAACATCGCGAATATCATTGATATTATCACGACATCATTACAATTGCTATTACGTTAGCATCGAGCAACTGACGGAGCCTTTTTAGACGGCACCGTTCTCGTTTTCGTCACTGAATTATACTTGTGTTATAATCTGAATCTAAATCTGCATAATCTATATAATCTAAATCTGAATCTGTTCGTGTTATATTATATGTTCTCATAAACCCATTAACAATGCCAGTATTTACGTCAATATTATCCAGTATTACGATATCGATAAAACATTATCAATCAACCCCCTGCTTCAATACCACATCACATACAAAACTAATGAATCACTCATAATTTCACAAATGAACTGAAACTGAAAACGAACAAACCTCAGTACGAATCAGCTCAATCAGTTGACAGTCGATGTATTCGTGTCGTTTCCTTTCTTCTGCATTCAGCGGTGTTGGCGGATGACTGCAACCACAAAAATATTTTTGTCATCTTTTCACTCCTTTTACAAACTTTCATAACGTTCCTTCTCAGTATTAATATTATCAAAATTTTTACTACTTTGATCAGTTGGCAATAAACTCCATACATCACACGGAAACGTTATCGCCAAAATCTTCATTACAATACCAGATCAGTCAGTAAACGAAATCAATGACGATAAATCAGCAACAACATAAATTTCAAAAAAGCAAAATCAACCTCGTTGTAAACAAAAACTGCTCAATAGCATCCGCTATTGCTGGCCACAGAGCGCTGTATAAACGAACTGAAATAAATACAAAGTAAATTTCGCTTCTTGAAAATTTTCTTCTATTTTCTGGCAGCAATAATAGCAAATCTT